GGTTTAGGGTTTAGGGTTTGTGGGACCTCGCTCCGAAAGTGGCCTGCACCTGGCCCTACTTCGATACGCAGAAGCTCGAGCCTGCATGTAGGGGCAATGTCGGAGTATAATCTCAAAGGATAGCGGCTACTACAAGGGTTCTACAACTATAACGGCTAAAGTGGGAGTTAGAGTACAAAGTCTAGGGTTTGAGGTGTACGGCGTAGGAGCTTTCAAATTTCGAATTCAGGGGAGGTTCAGCGAAGGGTTGGTGGTGATGGTTATGGTTTAAGTACCTTGGACCTTGCATGTAGCATGGCTTCAAGGGAGGCGCTCTTCAAGACCTTGAGGCCGTAGGTGTAGACCCGAAGCAGGAACTCCACCAGATAAATCAGGAAGAAGGCATAGTCCACCACCTCCATCACTCTCGCGTGCCAAGTACACAACCCCTTAAGCCTAGCGTTGGTGCCTGCCTTGAACATTGCTTCAATAGGGTTTCGTGGTACGTGATAGAAAGCTTAAAAGGAGACCGTAAGGGGATAGTATTGCCAGCTTCTCAGACCTTTAGAGTGCACCCGACTCCTCACCTCCAAAACCCAGAGACCCTTTAACCCTTTAAACCCCCTATACCTCCGTTTTCGGCGTCGTCGCGCCCTCGTGCCTTCAGCCACAGTGGCATCGCCTGACAAACCACGGCCGGGTCTCCGCAGATGCAGCGCTCGCTGCAGCCGGCGGGGATCTTGGACGAAACTTCGGCTTCCTGGGCCCAAAGGTTTCAGGCCTTGAGGGCTTAAGGATCCGAGGATTGCAGGGCTTAATGTTACCGGTTTAGGTAAAGGTTCAGGAGCTTTCTCGGGGTTTTCAATGTTCTCAGGGGGCATGAGGCTGTTTATGGCGGTGAGTCTCGGGCTTTAGGGTTTGTTTTGGAACTTGGAGTGCTAGGGAACTCACTTACGATGAAGTGCTGGGTATAAAACCCGGTAAAGCCTGACCAAAACCCCCAAAGTCGTAAAGAACCCGTTTAAAACCACAAGTCACCCTAAACCCTAAACCCTGAAGTCTACTGTCTCCAGAGTTTACCCCCTTCCTACAGCCAAGGAGCGAAGCCGATGGTCGCCGCATTCACGGAGATGATGAAGCCTGGAACCCCCCCAAAAAAAGCCAGGGTTTAGGGCGTAAGGTTTTTGTTTCCCCAAACAAAACCCTGAAGCACCCCAAGCCCTAAGCCAGATCACTCTAAAGCCCAATCCCCAAACCACTCAAGGCCCCCGAAAAAAAGAGAGGTCCAGAACTTCGGAGATCGAGGAGCCGATGAAGGAGTCAAAGTACGACGAGGAGATCCAGTTGTGAACCGTCTGCCGCTGTTGGTCGAGCCTCGCTTTACGGCTCTCGGGTTGGTGGTTCAGGGTTGAGAAGGCTGTAACAACAAACGTCATCGTTAGAATAGGGTTTGGGGGGTTGTTGTAGTATAATTACGGTAAGGAACCCGGGATAATCTTCAAGCTTCTACATTAGGGTTTCCGGTTTCCGCCCGGGTTTGTGGGCCAGGGTAACGCGAAGCTTATCGATTTAAAGGCTTTGGGTTTAAGGAGAGTCTTCCAGGGTTTCGGCCTTGAGGGTTCAAGGCTTCTGGGCTCCAGGCCGTTCGTGCTTGAATTCAAGCGGGCGGGGTTTTAGGGTCTTGGTTTCCCTTAACCCTAAACCCTAAACCCAGCGTTTGGAAATAGGAACATGAGGTTGAGGTTTTGGGAGCCAGGTCAACTTGAAGGGGTCGGGAATGGGGACATTCCTTGCCCCACGCCTAAGCCCGAAGATTCTTAATAATCAATCCTGAAACTGCTACCAAAACCCTCAAATCACCCTGATCACACTCTTGTAGAACCCTTACAAACCCTAAACCCTAAACCCTTATAATGGGACAGACTCTTACTACTATGGAAGAGGATCAGGGACGCCTGCAGAATCCACGAATGGCTCCATGAACCCCTAACGCACCCGAAACCCCGACACCCTGAACTCCTAATACCGGAAACCGGTTCTAGCAATCCTTATGGGAACTCGTACAAGAACACTTATCGTAATTTTCAACCCTCAACACCAAACTCTGAAACCCTAAACCCCAAAACCTAAAACCCTAAACCTAAACCCTAAGCCTCAAAATCTAAACCCTAAGCCCCAAAACCTAAACCTTATCGGAACCTGAACCCACCCCTTTGCTCTCCCAAGGCACATGCCCGGATTGATGCCAATGCTCTTGGCCACCTCGGCGGCCTTGCTGCCCATGTGCGTGTCCAGCTTCTCCTCAAGTGAGAGCTTCAGGAAACTAGGGTGCGATCTTATTTCTCTGCGTATTAGCCTTAGGGTGACGGCCATGACTAGTAGCAACGACTACACTCTTTTGTTTCTGCTCAGAAGCTGTTACCATCCGAGAGCTCTTGTGCATCTAGGTAAATCGCCTTCCAGCACCAAGATCCGACAAGCTGCCGTGAGGGTTTAGGGTTTAGGAGTTGGGGCGCGGGGTTCAAGATGTTTCATATGCCCAGAAACTCCACAAATACCTTCATGAAGGATACCTAAAACAAAATCGTCAAGGGTTTTCTCGTCTTGCATGGCTCTCTGACTCAACCTCCATCCAGGGCACAAGGTTCTTCCTAATGAGAACCTTCCAGCGTGGGGCTCAGATGTGCGGCTCGGGATGACGGCTTGGGTGCAGGTGGGAACACCCGACACACGCGCCTTGTGTGGAGGCTCCTTGAAAGACAGCTTTGCTCTTCATGGAACTCCAGGGTCGCAGGCATGCGAACATGGGGGGCAGGGCCTACACCCGAGAACTGTGGACAAGCTGCCCTGCCAACTTTCGGGAGCATGGCCTGGGATCTTGAACGCAATATCCTCAATCCTAAACCCTAATATTTAAAGCTGGGATCCACTAAAGCCTGAACCGCCCGAACCTCTTAATCCCGAAAAACCCTGAACCCGCAACCGGAGTCGCAGCCCGTTCCTGTTGGTATGCCTTAGCCTTCTGCTCTTCCAAGAGCTCATCCGCCTGTCCATGAACAATGACAGAATTGGGCTGGGGGTGGCCCCAAAATAGCAAGTACCAATGCTATACCTTACTAGAATCTGCCCCTAAACCCGGCAAACCCTATTCCAATTGCTTTGGCCGAGTGTTTTACGAGTTCCTTGCTTTCTAAAGCTGACCCCAACAAAAACCCCACTCGCTCCGAACTCTGGGCCCGCAGGTGCTGAGCCCCTCCGTCTGGGTCAAACATCCAAGAACCCAATCCTCACCCCTGAACCTTACAGTGATTTAGGGTTCAGACACCTTAGGTGTACGGCCTCCGTTAAGCTCCCCGACTTTGAAGATGAAAAATGAAAGAAAGGCGAAGCTTTGGGGTTTGGGGAATCCTGCAACAACGTTGCTTCTCGTGTTCGGGTTTTGTGGTGTCGGCCTACCTTAATCCAGCCATAGCAACTTCAAAAAAGAAAGAAGGACTGGTAGTAGGGCACAGCAGTTATCAGGGGCCCGGAAGCACCAAGATCCTTAACTCCCTGGAACTCTCGCATGGCAGTCTTCGATTCCCAAGTCCGGGCCCTTGCTGGGAGGACCCCCAACAGGGAAGGGAGCCCGTCGGGTCAAGAAACCCCCTGAATGTCCGCCTTCCGCTCTTTGACGATCTCTGCCAGGGCGTTGGAGAGAACCGTACCTTACAGCGTTCTCAACCCTTGAGCGTAAACGGGCCGATGGACATGGGATGTATAAAGTATAGGGTCCTGAGTTCTGACTACTCATCTGCCTTTCTAGTCCCAAAAGGACTGTGGGTTCGAAAGGCACCCTGAACACTACCCAACAGTGCACCATGTGGTTCTGGCTGCAAGCCCCAAGCCTTCAGCGCCAAACACCGCAAATCCCCATATCTTGCACCCATTCCTGACATCATAGCTCCAAGTTCGTCCACTGCAGACGGACCACTCCGCCCGGCGCGGCTCCGCATGCTACGGCCTCTCTTCATTTGGAACGGGCTTTTGGCGAAGGGCATTGGAAGCTTAACATGAACCCTCTTATGTAGCGGCCTTAATAATTAGAGTAGGGTTGTGGGGGCTCCTCACTATAATGATAGTATAATATACCCCGAAACCATATTCTAATTATTAAGGCCCCTAAATTACACGCTGAGCCCTGATGCGACCGCAACCCTTAGCTCTCAGCCCAGTATAGACAGTCCTTTATTCTAGGGTAAGCCCTTCACCATCCCCTAAAAGCACAGAGGTGGAACCTGGTTCAGGACGAGTTATTGCCTCAACTCCCCATGCTTCAAGTTGAAGGCATGAAAAACAGTGAGCCTCCGAATCTGCCGGCGAAGGCTGTGGAATGAGACATTGCAATGGCCCGAGCCTGCATGACCTAGTCCCCTCTATCCTAAAGAAGCAAGTCTAAAGACCTAGAGAAAACTCCACAAAAGCAGAGAACGCTAGAAATGTGGTTCAATGATAAACCCCCGAAACTCATAGGCCTAAACTCTAAGCCGCGCTTGGCCTGTCGCGGTTGGACCCATCAATGATCCTTCTCGGAAGTTCTTCTGAGGTACCTGCATTAGGTTTTGGGTTTAGGGTTGCGGGTTTGCTGCTTAATGCAAGGGCCTTCATGAATAGAATAGGACTGAGGGTACAGTGCAAATGAGGATTACAATGACCTACACATAGACACTACTGCTACCTCTAGTCTAGACGCGGGATCATGAGTTGTCTTCGGAACTTGAAAGCTTGACAATGTTTGCTTTCTCGTGCAATGTAGGGAGTCCTCTCACAGAGTAGTCCATGCGGCTGCATAACACAGAGGTGAAACTCGCAAGCAATAGTTTTCACTTATCGCCACTGTGCTATCATATGGGGGTTCCCGAAAATAGGGGACCCTAATATAGTACCCTAAATAGTAGGCTCCTTATTATAACGACCCCAAATAAGGTAAGAGCGCTGCAGAACCCTCGTTCTGAAGTGATACGGCAACTTCGAAGAAGCATAGCATAACACTGTTAGGGTTTAGGGTTTAGGGTTTAGGGTTTAGGGTTTAGGGTTTAGGGCAATGGCCTTCAGTGAGTGGAATGGCCGGGATGGTCTATTCAAGTCCGCTCCACGGTCCCCGACTGGGCACCCAGAACTCCACTCTCTGTAAAGACCCCTAAACCTGAAACCGCCCTAACACCCCAAACCCCCAACTCGAAGGCCCTAAACCCTAAACCCGAAACTCTAAGGCCCTAAACCCGGACCCTGAAACCCCAAACTCCCCTCACACCCCAAACCCTAACTAAACCCTCAACCCCTGAAACCCCAAACCTGAACCCCAAACCCTCTATGGCCGCGCCTTCGCTCCATCGCTGGGCCTCCGCAGTGCCGAGCTTCGCAGCCTAACAGCGCTGGCTCATCCCAAATCGCGGATATAAGGATCAAGGGTTGAGGGTTTAGGGCTTGGGGCTTTTAGGGTTTAGGGCTTTAGGGCTTGGGGCTTTTAGGATTTCTCGGGCTTTTGGGGCTAGATTTGCGGCTTTCGGTGGGGGATGTACTCAGTCGGCTGTCGGCTCACAAAGGTTGAAGGTTTGGGGTTCGGGGCCTGCACGATCGCCAGTGATTCTGCAACAAAGCCTCGAAGTCTTGAGCTCAAAACAAACACAGCTCGGGGTGCACTCTATGCTAGAAAGGCGCATTCCCCTGCCACAAACCCTCACCCAAACCCCTAAGATCCTGAAGAAAACCCCAAACTCAGAACCCTCAGGTCTTCGGACGTCACAACTCTAAACCCCGAACCTCTACGAAAAATCCCATAGAGCCCCCAAGGAAACCTTTGAAACCCTTGCAAACTCACGAAAGCTGCATCCCAGAAGCTCAGGTCTGTCGTTCTCCTCAACTTCCTGGCAGGTTGAAGGCTTTGGGGTTTCACAATGGAGCCTACAAAAAATGGAGTTCTACAGGGTTCCATGGGGTCAGAGGAAGGGTTTGCAAGGTTCTTAATCGGGTTCCACGCACTTAATAATAGGGGCCTCACTCTCCCGAACCCTTTTCTTTCCGGTGCAATAGGTCCTTTCGACCTTTGCAGACGCCACAGAGCTCGCACATGCGCTCAAGGCGGTCTGTGATGAACCCCGCTTCAGTTTCCAAACGGCTTGGGGCCCAGAAACCCTACCGCAGGGGACTTCACAAGTGCAGTAGGCTTTCGGTGGCACATGGAAGAATTGCAATGGGAGCCACCCGTGTGATAGCACAGTTCTCAATCGAATGCTCGGTCCGGTATGCCTGGGCCCCCACGAGTTTACACGATTTTGAGTTGAATGACTTTGTCGTAATTTACGTATAAAGGACTACAAGGCATAATTTGAATATGCCAAGTTCACGTGAACCTAACCGAAGCGAACCTGCGAGAACCCTGTCTTTAGAATCACGTATTTCTCGGCCCTTTTGGAAACCTTATAGAACCCGTATAAGCCCCTTACACTCTATGGTCTCGGTGTCTTCTCAAACACTTCGTGGTTTCCGCCTCAGCGAAGCGCATGTTCCGGAGCTTCTTGCCAGCTTCGGTGGACGGCGGGTGGTTGCAGACTTGCCTCCAGACGGCTCCAGTGTATGGTCCATCTGAAGAATGGGGTTGAGGGCTTGCGGGGGTACCCAATTCACCTTTAGCCAACAAACCCTTCAATGCCTTGCCCTGCATGACAAAAGCCCAAACCGTTACAAGCTAGGCGGCTCTGCGTCCAGCTGCCGCGGCAGCTCATCGTAGGGTTTGGCATCCAAGGCCTATGCCAGAGGGAATTCGAGAAAGTGTCAGGCCGTTTAGGTGAGGATGCTGGAGGCACAGGGTGGAGACAAGCGGAAGCTGGAGGCTCGAGATGAGGGTGGGAAAACTCAGGATTCAGACTCTGAAAACATTGCCAAACAGGAATGCAAATCAGGCCCGCCCAAGCCATAAGCCCGATGTCCTTGCATCGAGAAAGTTTCGTGCTGGACTGACAACCAACAGTGGCAACCGCTGTGGAAGCTGGAATTCATAGTTTCTGAACGCCCGATGCACGCAAACAGGAATGCAAGACCTTCGACATGTGTGTATATATACGCATCGCATGTAGATGTTTCTCTGTATTCACATGTGTTTGCAAGTATGAACTATCGATGCAGCTCGCCGATCGTAAGGTGTTCAAAGGCACCAGAAAAGCAAATCGTATGGCACTCAAGCTCGTTACTCTCTTTGTTCTGCTACGGATATCAATTGGCGTCATGGCTGCACACCCTGGGCAAACGCAAACTCCAGCATCCTGAACATCAAGTTCCACTGGCATGCTGGCAGCGCCTGAATGTCGACCGACATACGTCAGTATCGAACTGGTAAGATGCATTTTGCGACTACAGCGTCCCAGATAAACTGCTCGATGACTGTGCTTGCAGGCAAGGAAATTCAAGCGGAATGATTGAAGAGACCAATACGACCCCTGGAACAACACCATGTGCCAAGGGCACATTCCTAACACCTTGGGACTGGAGGTACATGTTGCATTGTCTACAAAGGAAGGATCTACCAACCAAATGTAGCATCGGACTCAAGACTACTGATGGATCGAAGATATGATGAGCATGCACACTGCCAGAATAGAATGAACGGGCAGTTATCGCAGTTTGTCAAGGTCGATTCTGGCGGCTCGTCTTCATGGTCGCCTCATTTCTCTATTCAGCAACAGATTGCGAAGCCGCGCAGGTTATGTCGTCGCGTCGTCAGTACAGTCGTCATCGCAAACGACCAAATCGCGTCGCACACTGCTAATAGCAAAGATAAACATGCTGAGTACTGGTAAGTCACGAAGTCATTGTGGCACCATTAGCTGTTTCAAACCTCGTGCTCACTACCCATGATAAAGCATCACAACTTGTCATTGCTGGGCGACAGTAGACTTGCAAAGACCTAAGGACCTATTGAACCCGAAACCCGGAGAACACAGAATCCGAAACACCCGCAAGACCTACAGCAGTCTTCGAACTGTAGACAGCGGCGAAGTCCATTTTGCAATAAGCACTGTAAGACCCCTCCAACACCTCAAACCGCAGCAAAAAACTAAACCCCTCCTGAACCCCAACCTGAGAGCCAAAGCTCCAAACACCAAACCCTTACCCTAAACTCTGAACGCCGAACCGTACACATGTCTCATGAACCATCTAGAAGCTTGGCTTGGCAACTTTTTGCGATGAAAACTGTTTGTTGTGGAGATTCAAGGAAATACAGTTTTGAGGGTAGAGTTTTGGGGGAATTGCAGGTTCTGGGGGCATGGGGTTAAAGGGAATGTCAAGTTTTGGCTGTAGAGCTTCAGGGATTATCGGTTTTGCAGTGTAGGGTCCAAGGGAATTGTTGAGTGTGGGAGATAACCGGACTGTGATCCCGAACTCCTGATTCAAACGATACTTCCCTGAATAAGCATTACGAGTGGATCTGAAATCAGAGTATGATCAACAACAATAACACCAGAGTAGGCGTCATAATAAAGCTCATCCCCGCTTTTATACGGTAAGAACTGGGTACTGCCCCCCATACACTAACAGTCTATAACAAGGTTATTATTAAGGGCCTTATATGGCTACGCTACAAGTAGTATTCAACTGTTACTAAGTGCGGGCAGTATCCAAGGTAAGAACATCAACCACAAGAGCTGCAAATGCTCCAGACTTCGCCCAAACGCCGAAACATTTTGCCTCCTTGACCAGAAACCAAAATGTGCCATCACCAAGGTTCCGAAGAAGGAGCCTTATGTACAACCACCAACACTCAACCAAAAAAACAAAAAAAAGAATATATATATATATATGTATGGGCCGGCTTGGGGGGGTATATGCTGGATTCTAGTATAACGACATGGGGACTGCAAGGGGACATTTCTGCAACTTACTATTACTCTTAAACCCCTATTGAAGCCTTATCAAACCTGGAAGGAGAGAGCCTTATCAAAAACTTTTCGGCAGATATCTTAACTAACAGTTTCGACCCCTTCACGATGCCGCAGAAGGCAAGGATCCTCCTGGAAGCTCAGTAACATACCTCTTTAAGGGTTTAGGGTTTAGGGTTCAGGGAAATCCTAACAGGGAACCCCAAGACTTCAAGAGGGAATGTTTTCTAGGGTCCACCTATACCCGTATACCCTGACGTCGCCTTGGGGTCTGCGGACGCTGTCTGCTTCCGACTCCGCGTGGCGATGATGCGCACGGGCCTCGTCCGGTGCACCGGGAAGACCTTGCCAGGAGCGGAGAGCGCAGGGTAGGTGGGGGGCTTAGCGCTTAGGGCCTTCTTTGAACGGGCTGACTTTTTCCAAAAAGGCGTTTCGGGTTCAGGATTTGGTGGCCAGCTAGGGTGGCGGCTATTCAGCGGCTTAGGGTTTCAAGTTTCTCGTGGTTTCAGGGACAAGATACTCGGGCGTCTTACAGCATTTTGTTTTGGGGTCCCTACATAATAGACCGAGGATCCCAGAGTTTACGGGATTTCGGGCCGGGGCATCTGAGGCTGAGGGGTTAGCTACGGGCCTTAATGATTGGAGTTGGGTTCGGTATAGTAGATGTACATAGCCCTTGTTCAGACCTATGTCCTGTGTATTGAGCTCGACACCTCGAACCTGCCGAAGAATCCCCACCCAGCTAGACCCAGGGGCTGGGTCTGGAGTCAAGTAGAAAGCAGAGTCCAAGCTCCAAATTACCCCAATCTTGTACCTCCGCCTTCTTCAGCCCCTTCCTCTAGATTTCGGTCTTCGGGTGCCAACCGGGTCTTGAAGTAAAGAGTCCTTCTTGAGATCACCCCGCCAACAAAAATCAAAAAACCTACGTACTGTACCACCTCTAAACCCCCATTAGGCCCTAAACCTACCTCAGGAACCACGAGACCTCCTGGAATAAACTGACCTTCCAAAACCCTACACAACCATACAAGCCCTCTCACGTCCGCACACCGTAAAAGCAGACGACGGCAACAGAAGTCTATCAAAGGATTGGCAAAGCTCGTGAGAAACTATCAAGGTCGACTCATGAGGACACCAAATGATCCTATGAGCGTAGGGAGGCCTTAACAGTGGAACCAGGTTTTGGGGCATGTTATGGTATGAATATATAAGGATGATAAACCAGAATCTCCTACCCCTACCTTCAGCCCTGCCATAAGATACACCTTGTACTCGTCGGCCAGCTGGGCTTTAACCACGTGTGGCAGAAGTGGCGGTTCAGTATCCTTGCAGCAGAAATGCTGAAGGTAGAGCGCTATTGGTTTAATCTAAGGAACTAAACAACTGAAAACGGTTGATTTTGGGGTCTATACGGTATGACTACAGAATACTTACATTTGCTATTTCGCAATGGCCTTTTTGCGAGTTTACTTCAGCTCTAAAGGTGCAGGGATTCAAGGCCGCAAGTCTGATGTCAGGATTATCCTTTCGGATCAACTTCAGGCTTGAGGTTTGTTTCGAGGTTGGGTTCAACTTTCGTGGTCTTCAGTCGTGGGGCATCTCGGGCCCTTTGCCCGGAATCGCAAACCCTCAACACAACGCATCTGGCACTTTCGGGCCCATTGCCTTGAAGGAGACCGGTAAGGCGCCGCATAGAACCCTTCTGGAGCCCTTCTGGAGCCCTTGGTAGAATCCGAACAGAACTCCGGAACCCTCTTTCGACCACCTACACGGTACAACCCCGGCCCATGCTGCAACCGCGGCACGGGTGACCGGACCGCTTGCCAAGGATCGCCATCATGCGGCATCATGCTTGCTTAATGCTTAAAGGCTTAAAGAGCTTCTTATAAGGCTTATATTGTGGCGCTTACGAGGCTTCCGTGTGGTCGCATCGGTATAATGTTGAAGGCCTTCGGCACTTAGGGCAGGAAGTCATGAGGATGCTTCTGGCTTCAAAGCTTCAAGCTTGGGGGGTGTGCAATCGCAGGATTCAGACTTTGCTGTCTAGGGTTGGTAAGTAAGGTACCGCATTTCCATAATTCGTCAGGAGCTGCGCTTCGGATCTTACAAGCTTCGCCGAGGCTCTTGCATCGCTTCTCCAAGCCTCTGGCTCTCTCTGTTTGGGGTTTTGGGGGCTTTGGTGGTCCACTGCTTTTGGGACGGAGCCTGAGGCGGCCAGAGCCACACAGCCGTGAGCTCCACAACCTGGATCCGACCCGAAGGGTTTAGGGTTTAGGGTTTAGGGTTTAGGGTTTAGGGTTTAGGGTTTAGGGTTTAGGGTTACACTGCAGATTCTAGATTTACGTGGGGCGGTTTGCAGACCGCGACCTCAGACTACCTCCAAAGCCTGTACCAAGTGAGCCTTCCTGAATTCCCGATCTGATGCCCCAGAGAAGGCCCTTAAAACCTTGAAGGAAACCCAGCTGGTACCCCAGCTATCCCGGAGCCTCAAAGCCTAAACTCCGAAAGTCGCACAGGTGCAGGTGATCCTCCTCTCCAGCTTTGAGCTTCAAGTCTGGACGTTACAATCCCACTTAGGAGTGAAAGTCTCAGCACAACTGGTCCGGTCCAGGGTAGTCTTTTGCGGTGAGCTGCTGGCTGTGCTGGCATTTTGGTATACAATACCATCGAAAAAGATCGTCTGTGCCCAGGTCTGTGCCACGGCTCTACTTGTGAGAGAGCGCGTTGACGAGACGGTGCGCTCCTCATGTTCACGACCGGAACAAACCTCTCATGTCAAGATGACCGAATAGCTGACAACAACTCGGAGAAACATCCTGGTTATGTCTTCTGTCTCTGTTCATGCAAATCCCTGCTGATTTTGGGAGGAGAGTTTGTTCCTTCTGCAACTAATTAGATGCACACCGAGCAGCCACGAAAAGTAATGATACGGCTGCTGCAGACAAGAGACAGCTTACCTGCGCAAATGCTATGAGCAAACACACTGCTGCCTCTGTCGCGTGCATACTGCTGGACATTCCAGTCCAGATGGTTTCATAAGGACCTGCGGCCTTCACTCGCCGTTCTCATCGAAAGGGTGGCAACAAATCTACAAGTCGTAGTCTGACAGCAATGCACAAGTTGAGCAACGACTCAACGACTAAGGAAGGACCATAGAAAGCCGCAGGATGCGATGTTGCAACTTTCCTGCGAATGAGGGTCTAGACTCTAGACGCCCGCAGTGCTCAACTGTTCTGGACTTTCCTGCTGCTGTCCCTGCACAGAGACCGGATTCCAGGACGCAAACGATGCTGCGGATTCTGAGGGTGCTGGCCCCGGGGCTGCGCGATCGGATTTATATCCGAGCCGAGCGATTCCCTTCTTCTGCTTCTTTTTCATGGTGATCTCCAGGATGCCGTCCTGCCTCAGATCCATGACGGGATCCTCGAACTTCCCATCTGTCAGATCCACCAGAAAGGCTCGCTCCCACCTCCCCTGCTGCTGCCTGAAAGGCCACCCATCCACCTTACGAACAGCTTGCTCGTCGATTAGGGCGCGCTTGGTGATAGCGAGCTGGAACCCTGCAGAAAGGCTCTCGTCGTCCAGCTCGATGTCTTCCATCGCAACACCGGGGCACTCGATCAGGATCTTGCACTGGGCCCCGGCATCGGTCGTCCTTGCTCTGCAGGCACGTGGAGGGGAAAGGCTGAGAGTCTACGGGTTGACTACATGACGTCATGACCTCACGATCATTCTCCCTCCAAGCTTGGCCAGGGGTCTCTTCATACACATTGACATTAGGCTCAAAGGTCGCATCGTAGCCTCGGCAGGCAGCAACAGAATCGCTCCTAAATGGCTACCCTGGCAGATCCTGCTGCAGATAGTGTTTGCAAGCCCTCCCCTACGAAGCTGCGCGGCCCGGCCTATAAGTTCGCCCAGCGGTGAGATCACCCCACGAGTCCTCATCTTCGGTTCGGCTCCTTTGTCAAGCTGCAAGGAAAAGACCCCGCCACACACGTAGCCTTTCGGCATCTTCTCCTCTGAAGGCATCTTCTCCTCTGCTGACGACATTAACTCAGAACCGGGACGAAAGACGACGCCAAAAGCACGTTCCGATCCAGCTGCTTGTTCGGGAATCTCGGTGTTGACGAACATCTTCAGAAGCTCGGAGAGGTGTTCGCGCAGCTGGTCTTGAAGAACCATCTCCGTCTCCAATTCCCTGTGCTCCAGGCTCTGCAAGAGGTATTGCCGGTTCTTGTCGTTGAAAGCGTCCCCAGCAGGGCTAGACTCGTAGCAGAGCCCGATGTGGTGAACGGGTGGACCTTTGTCTTTCTTTGCCGTGAAGATGAGCTGGCCCATGGTGGACAAGTCTCCGCTGTAGCATGTGGTGACTTGCTTCTCAAAGAGCTGGGGAGCCACTTCGGCGTCTTTGACGTTGAGCATGTTGTGCACAACAATGAGCTCTTTGTGCACCTGTCTTGCCACGTACTTCCTGCGCAACATCTCTACATACTGCTGCTCCAAGGACGTGAAGCTGTTGACAACAAACACCATGTGCGATGCCATGCGAGAGATCATGTCGAAAAGGAAAGACTCAGTGGACTTCGCATCGAAGAGAGCATCATCAACTGACTGCTCGTTCCCGGCACCGGTCTGGGCACAGTAGGAGACTGGACTTTGCACTCCTGCCGAGTCGATCAGCAACATTCGTCGCTCCGGGATCCAGAGGAAGCTCAAACCATCTGTTTCGTGGAGCGTGCCAGAAGGCAAGTTAATCCCAAAGAGCCGGTTGATGAGCCAGGTTTTGCCTTTTTCGAACAAGCCCACGATTGCGATGACTCTGACGCTTTGCTTCTTTCCGATGTCCAACTCCGACTCCTCCTTCTGTAGCAAACTGATGTGCCTCCATGCGCAGGCTTAGAGATCGGGGCTTCGGGATCCCTAGTCGCAAATGAAGTGGCCTGAACTCCAAAGCCTTAACACAGATATTTATGTTGTGGATTTCGGGCGCTGAAGAATTGAAAGGTCAAAAGTCGGGCCACCCTAGGCTGCGATCCCAAACCTGAATCTGATCCAGGACTCCATCCCCACATGTAAAACTCAATATCCCCCTTGTCGTTCACTCCCTCGTACTCAACCTGAAGCCCAAAGCACAAGTCTCGTACTTCCCGACTTCCCGAACCTGGTCTCCAAGAACTTGGCCAGAGAGTTGAAAGGTAGAACCACATCGTAGGAAGTGCTCTGCATCCTGCGTTCGACGCTGTGCTGGCGAGACTCTGGATACTCCGGGGTTTCGAGCTTGGCCCTTGGGTTGCGGGATTGTGGCTTAGACTCGAGCAAACCTCCGTTCAATCAGACGGAATCTCATGGAGAGGGTCGAATGAAAGCCAGCCCCTTCCTTTCTACAATCTTTTTCCTAATCCCACGGACTCCCAATTCCTGCTGAAGCACCGAACAACTTACGTAAAGCTGAGCTGCGTGGAGAGGTTCATCTGCTGGTGCCACCGAACTAGTTGCTCTGGGCCTATTGGGCCCACACCCTGCATCGTCCGAAGACAAAGGTTCTCCTTCCACGGTTGAAGGCTTTCCGACCCGCTTGCGTTGGATTTTAGTTTTAACTTTCGGCACGCTAGGCCCGCCATAACTGATCTGCGGATTCAGTTCCCCCGGCCCTTTCAGCTGATTTCACATTTCAAATTCTCCTTCCTGCAGACCTCGAGCTCGGCCCGAAGCTGCCGCAGCTCTGCCTCTCTCTGCACCGCCTCTTTCTGGCAGCTTTGAAACTTGGGCTCGAGCTCGTTCAACTTCTTGGTCTGCCTCTCCTTGGCGGTCTTGGTACAGTATACTATTTTTTATATTCACTTACCAACTAACTTACTTGCTTATTCTCTCTGTCGCTCTCTCTCCGGGCATAAGGGCAGGTCAATGCCCCCGTGCGCCAGGCCCACCCGATGTTTTTCGGGTAAAGGGGAGTGAACAACGAGTGTAGATTGTCAAAGGCAAAGGCCATAAAGACTACGATGACAAACATCTGACAATCGTACACTGTCTGAGAAACATGCACAAGGATGTCGATTTGCGTTTGGGAACGCGGGCGAAAAGCTAGCGACATGAATAGAAGGGGCAATTGACATCCCGTGTCAATTAGTGACTAGCATGTTGGGCACACGGTGTTGGGGTATTTCCCTCTGTACAACACATGATCCCTTTACAAGTCATCTCACCGATCTTTACAAGTCATCTTGATCGGTGTGTGCGGGGTTCAAACTTGGGCATGGGGCATCACGAACAGTAGAAACCAGCATATAGAAGGATACGGAGCATGTAATGTCCCCCCCGTCAACATGTTTGGCCCTAGATAGTTCAAGGCACTGATAGACGGTCGTCCCCCGTCTGGGTTAGTCCTCACAGCTGAACGACGAATCTGAAAGGGGATGAAGTGTACAATCTAGTTATCAACTCGGAAGGCAGGCGGATTGAAAGAGCAGGCCGAAGGCCGCACGTAAAAAGTTGGGATCCAGGTGTCGCAAGTCGGCAACTACCTAGATGGAGCACAGGTTTGCGATGACATCTGCCGAAGCAGGCTACAGTACAATTGAAGAACAATGCTTCACTCCCCCCCTTGTATCACAGGGACGCCATGCAAAAGTTGGAGTACAAAATTTTAGGCTTTTATGGGACAGCGGTGGGAAGCTCTAAGTACATGACGCACTCACACAAAACACGCAGAAAGCCAAGCGTCCAGCCGAGGGCCTTGAACCAAAACAACCTCAAGCATTCCCCTGCCCTGCAGACATATTGCAGAACGAATTTTCCCCCGCTCACTTTTCCTCTGTACTTCACCAACGGCTGTTGGCCCTTTCTTGGCGTCTTCTAAGTCGTCGTTGAGCACGGAAGGCGAGCTTGCTTTGTATCTTCCGGGCCTCTTTGACGCGGCCACTGTAAAGTCGTGGGTGGGAGGTGAGCTAGTGGTGGGCTTCCCCCGCACTCGGTGGTTGTCTGCTGGTTGGTAGTCTCCCTGCAGGCCATTCAGGAGTGACAGGAGCAAGGCGAACCCAGATCCACCTCGTCGCTCTCTTCCCCCTGCTCAGGCTGTGGGAGGGTCTTCCCCCCATTTCTTCAAGCTGGCTCTGTGTACTCTGTCTATCCACCCCCAGTCTGTGGCAACTCGGTCAAAGAAAGTTCGAACCTTGCAGCCATGATCACGTAGGTAGCGGAGGGTCGCGACACCTTTCTTGTAAAGTTCTTTGCTTCGGGTACGAAGTTCATGTTCTCGTTGGAGTTGTTCCTCTTCGACCTCAGTGTGGTGTCTCCCCAACTCTTCGTCATAGTGCCTCGCTCTTGTTGGTGACCACAGTAAGGGTCTGTTCCCCCACATGATCTCGACTCCCCTCAGTCTGACGCGCATTGACGGTCCATCCCACCTGCTTCTGTCTCTGCTGCGCTTGGAAGGGTCGCTTCGGGCGATCAGCGAGCAGGCTCAATCCCCCCCAAAAGGCGCTCGGCTCCGTTGGCTCTCGTGGGCGTCGTTCACGGCGTCTTTTCCCCCTTGGGAGGTGGAGGGCTCCCCCTCGGGCCTGTAGCGAGTATTGTGCAGTCCTGTCAAACCATGGAGTCTGCATTGTGGGTCATTGCGCACATGGTTTTACGAAAGCCTTTTGAACAGATCCCCCGAGCTTCGCGGCATACTCATCAGACCTTTGGCTTGCTGTCCTCTGTGGCTATGGGCGCCACCGCTTCTTCGGCAGGGCTTTCCCCCGCACTCGCCATCTTGCCAGGTCGATTGCCAGCTCACCGGACTGCAAAAAGTATCACGATCTCACCGAATTTATTCTTTACGACCCGCTGTCCCCCTTCAGAATCGCCACAGGCACCTCCCCAGCGATGTAGCGATGCCGATCAGGACCGTTCTGTACTATGTCGCTTTCCTGGACCCCTGCAGTGAAGAGCACGAAGTGCAAAGGTCACCTCCTTGTTGGGCTGCGATGGCTCGGGCGGTGAGGATTCATCGCCCTTGGGCCAGTCTTGAGCCAAAATGGCTTGAGCCAAAATGGCTATGCTCTCTCTCTTTCTTTCGCAGGGCCCTGTCTCTCACTCTCTCTCTCTCTCTCTCACTCTCTCGCTGTCTCTCTCTCTCTCTCTCTCGCTCTCTCTCTCTCCTTCCAACACACAAAACAGAGGACAAAGAGAACGGGAACATGGGATGCCGAAACCCCGGCGGATCTCGAGGAACTGCAAGGCCTGTTTTACCAGCGGGTCGGCCACCTTCTCAACTCCAAACTGCAAGGTGATCTCCGTGAGCCCCCTGCTATCTGGGTCGACATGGAAGCCGCCGGACCACTGAAACTTACTTCTGCCATCCTCTCGAATGCGTGCCAGCTCAACGAAAGGTGGGTGCCATGGGTGCACGCGCCCGCACCCAGAAACGCGAAGCGTTAGCTTTTGATCGGCAGAGATGCGGATGTAAGGCTGTTGGTGGCCCTTGGGAAGAAAGTCGACCTGGCACGGGCAGGGATTGTCTCCAACAACCTTTTGGCCAACAAAGAAACCACACTCAACAACGTGACACGCTTCGGGACTTCGGCGTTCAGGGTGCCTTGGGAACCCCTCATCCGCCTGCACCAACTTGTCCAAAAACTCGAAGGGGCCACTTGTGATGCTGTTTGGATGCTGCACTTGGCTCACCTCCTCGGGCTGCAAGCGCCACACCACCTGCTAGACTGGGACCCGACAGGGTGCTCCTAGCAACAGCACTCTCAAACACCTGCCTTCGTCAGAACCTCGAAGCACCGGCAACCCCGAAGGCCGTGCTTCGCACCAGGGTTTGGGGCTTACGACTTTGGGCTACGGCCTTCGAAGTGCCGGAGTTTGGAGTTTACATCACTGATAAAACGGGTGACAGTTAAGCCGGATGTCCTTAGTCTTGGGGTTGACTTCACCTGTTCTATGCCTCGGACTGACACGACAAGTACCGTGACTCTAGAGCCTGAACATTAAAGACCTGCAACCCTACAAACGCATGGAGCCATAGGAGAGAAAGCTGCCTTCAACTCTTCCGTCTCGACGACAACCATCCCAGCTGGCGTCTGTGCTACAGAGTGAGCATTACCCGGCAGCGACATGGCCCGTTTACACGAATGAGAGACTCCGAAAAGGCCGTGGCGAACGGCTCGCTTGAACCACGATGTGCTGCAGTGGGCAAATCTCAGCATGAACACGACAAGATTTCGGGGGCATAGCACCCTACGGTTTTGTTATGGGTCGGAATGGGTCAAATGCGATTAAATCATTGCCTTGCGGGTGAACATTGAGTTCAGGCTGAAGACCTTAGGAGTCTGGGCTATGTATAACCCGGCACGTGATGATTTCCCGCTAGAATTTGTCTCCGGCGCAACTGTGCGAAACATACTGGCGGTACTTCTTTCCCGCTCCATCTACTTAGACTTCTGAATGACTAGCACCGCATTCCGCAGCACGTTTTTGTTTTGCCGCAGCCACAGGCAGCCATGCCGAGGCGGCAGGGTGTGCCATCAGCCCATCGGATATCCCAGGCGCTGCTGGCAGGCCTTGTAGCGGGCGAGCAGCCCTGTGGGCATGGCGAGCGTGGCATTTCTGGCGTTCGCCATGCAGTCCGGGCTGTTGGTGTGCTCGTGATCGTCAACCTCCGGAAATCCTTAGCTGCAGGATCGAAAGGTGGAAGCAAACCTCATAATTAAACAAGACATGGAAGCTGATCACTGTCCCTCGTAGGAATCCGGTATGTTGGATGTCCTGCACCGCACACTTGCGGCCACGCCCCACTATGCCCATGCTACCTTCGAATCTGGACCCCAAAACCCCAGGTCCAATGCCCCCAATCCTTATAGCTAAACCCTGAGCCCTGGACCCAAGGCCCCAAACACTACAGTAGACACTAAACTGATCCCAAAGTCCTAAACTCCAAGCTCTAAAGCCTGAACCGTTCTTACCTCAATCTTCATCTTGAGCCCCAAGCCCAACCTGAACCCCAAGAACCCCTTACCTTTGAAAACGACGTCATAATCCGGAACCCTCAACATGTGGATTTTTCTAGAGTCCGGAAACTGTCCTACAGGTTTAGGGTTTAGGGAAAGAGCAGAATCTTTTATGTCGAAGGGCGGTGGAGGTCCTGCTGCCTGCCAGCCCGGCGCACGAGCTCCCACTCCTCATCGGTCAGATTCATGCCTGCGGAAATCGAAAGGGCTGCTTAGGGTTTAGGGTTTAGGGTTTAGGGTTTAGGGTGTAGGGTTTAGGGTTTAGGGTCTAGGGTTTAGGGTTTAGGGTTTAGGGTTTAGGGCGAATCATGGTTTAGGGTGTAGGGCCGGCTTCTTGCCTGTGGATGTAAGGTCGAAGCAGGCTGAGGGATCTGGCGGGGCATCGTTGAGAATGCAAGGATCACCCAAAGGTAAAATCCCTTGAAATTTGAGGTGGGGAGGGGATGCTGGCTTCCACTTCTGCTTCGCCCAAGAATGCAGATCCTGGACGCAAAGTGAGCTTCCAAAAAGGAACCCCCCGAGCTTCCGCGAAATGAAGCAAGCTTTGACAGCACCCCTGGAACCCTCCAGCGAAAAGCAGCAAACAACACCCTAACCCTGAACCTTTCAAAACACACCCCAGAACCCGAAGCAACGGTCCCCAGCCCAGGCATCTCCTCAGGTTTGCAGCGCAGGCTTGAGCTGGAAGAGACCCCCAAAAACCCGAACCCTACTAGCCTGCAAACCCCAGCAACCCGCAGCTCGAACCTCTGTTGAGGGTTGAGGGTTTAGGGTTTAGGGTTTAGGCGGCCTTCGAACCAGAAGGTCAGCAGCTTCTCCAGCTCAACATCAAAACCATCGGAGGAGCCTCCACACGACAGCTTTTTGCGGCAAAAGGTCCCTGAGGTTTTTGGGGGTTTAGGGTCATAGGCCGAAGAGACTTGTAAACTGTAAGCAAGGTATACCGTGCGTGACTGAATCGAAAACATCTCGGAGAAGCGCATTCTGTGCTGAGAGGGGGCTCTACCCTGATAGCAACACTGACTACTAGTCAGGGTCCTATATGAAGGTTTCGCTTCGTGGTTCTTTTGCTCTCGGCTTCCGAGAAGTTTGGATTGGGGCGTTTGCAGGTTTCCGGCTCGAGACTGAAAGTAGCACGAGGCTAGAACCGAGCCTACCATGCGCTCGTAGTCCACGCGATGGGTGTCATTGGCCGGAGACTCGAATACCGCCGTCATCTCCTCCAGGAGAGCCGGGCTTCTGTAGGGCTTGAATCGAACGTTGAAAAGGCTGTTGAGGTGCTCTTATGGGGTTTACACTTTTGCAGTGCTTTCGCAAGGTTCTTAAGGCAGGGGTCTGACAGGTCATGATAGAGTTTGAAAGGATTTCTCCAAACTCGGTGCACCTCGTTAGGGCTCGCTGTGATGTGTTTAGGATCCTACTGTGTAGAGTCCGAAGGAATTCTCCAGAGAAGGACTCTGTAAATCTATATCAGGAGTGTTCTTGTAACGGTTCGAGTTGACAGTCGCGGCTTCTCACGTAGGATTTCCTTTCCGAGGGTTCTTTCACAAGGGATCCAACCGAAGCGGGATACATAACGGAGCCCTCTTCTTAAAAAAAAAAACTTCCGACTTCCCGAACCGGAATACTGCAAGCAGCTTCTGCGCCAAAACGTCTCCTCCACCAGTTCCAGCATCCGCCGACCAAGGAAAGCCACGCCGTCCTCGAGAGGCGTTGGAGCTTCGTCAGGAACGCCTAAACGGGAGTCAGACTTGCAACACTGAAGCCCACAAGTTGGAGAAGAGCACTTCGCCTGCGATCTCTTGCGCCACCAACCCTGGAAGCGCCCTAAACCCGAAAACCTGCCGGACTGAACAAATCGGAACCCGAAGTTCGGCCCTGGGGTTTTTGGATGGCTTGGTTTGGTCAGGCATGCCCCCCCGGCGGAGAGTTTCAATGAATCTGGTCCTAGCCTGGCCTCATGAATTGAGAGTTTCCGGGGGGGACATGCCGGCTGTCCTTGAGGTCCATAAACAGAAGCAGTGGAGCGAGAGTCATCAGGTTCCTCAGATCAGCTGCTTTGCTTCCACAGGGCCGTTCTGCTCCCTTCCTAAATCCCCACAAACCGGCTTTCTGCTTGAGCTCCGTCGTTCTGGGACCCCCCCCCCCCCCCCCCC